CGAAGAAGCAGGCAGCTCTGCATTTGAAACAACTTGTTTTATGGGTTGAGTGATTTTGATAAAAACTAATGAGACCCACAGACGGTTTTGTTTTCACAGCTGATGGCCGCCTTGCATAACACATTCACATCAGCAAATATTTTTCCAGGAACAAATACATGTCTGACCGTGAAGCAATGATTCCTAAAGAAACTGCCTATCCAGCTCCAGAAGGAAGCTGTCAGTGCAGTCAACTACCTGCTGTGTGTGTAGAGGTTGCTGAGAGTTTCTATTGGCTTTAAGCACTTATCAGGAACAAGTTAAAGTTTTCACTTCTCAACTCAGGAAGCACAGAGCAAGATCACGTCCTTTCTGTTCTTCTGCAAGCAAGTTCAGTGCATTAATTCAATGGAGACAATTGTTGATTTTTCCACAAAAATGGTACACTAGATTCATCGTATGGCATTTTAAGGGCATTCTTAACTTTCACAGGAACCCAAAAATGAAGGATATAGTTTTCTGCTGAACACTGGTAGTAGGTTATAAACATAAAGCTTTTGTATTACATTTAAACCATATAAAAATAACCTATAGTTGGGTCAGAAGTCTGAGGAACTGGAGCAAAATCTGTGCATTTTTTATAATAAATTATTAAATCAAAATATCCATTTCATTACTTTAAATCACTTGCATGACATGATTACAATCATATGACTTTATGCCAATCATCATTTGCAACACTTGGTTGTGCAAGTAATTTAAGCCACCTCTGTAAATTGCTCCCAAAACTGATTCTTTAAATCAAAATACAGGGGAATACCCAAACAACAATAGTAGTTTTTGAGTGAAGCTCTTGTCCACAAATGGAAATATCTCATCCAAAACTCCTAAACTTCTTTCCTGACTACGCTGCTCGTGACTCAATGACACACCCCCCAGTTAGTCATCCTTGGTGCACCGGGTGAAGCTCACTCATGGCTGTCTTAGGAAACGTCATCTCCCTGAGCCTCCAGCAGAGAAAGAGAGCAGGAGGCAGCAAAACTGCAGCTTCTCTGGGGCTGCACTGTAGCACCCCTAAATATAAATAACTCATTCAGTCTTTTCCTTCTGGCTTTGAATATTCTGTTTCTTCACCAAAAGCTCAAAAAGATGTTTCACTGGAAGGTTTTCAACCATCCTTACAAATCCCCAGGTTCAGACAGTTTTTAAAGGAACTGAGTCTGGCTTAAGTGAGCTCACCCTAGGGATTTCAGCTGGTATAAGGAAAGACTTTCACAAATCAATTTCACTGAAAGCCGCACATGCCTTTTTGCTCTTTTTTCCACTTAGATGAGACCTGATGTTTGACCATATCCTATCACAACAGGCCCTGCTAAGAAGTCTCTCCCCATCTTTCCTACAGGCCCTTTTTAAGTACTGAAAGGCTGCTCTAAAGTCTCCCCGGAGTCTTCTCTTCTCCAGGCTGAACAACCCCAACTTTCTCAGCCTTTCCTCGTAGGAGAACATCCACCCTGACTGTAGCTCTGCACAACATTTAAGATAATAGAAAGCAGCAGTGTGTTTATGGACCTGGTATGCAGCTCAGATAGAGGATTTAGCAGGTCATGCTGAAAAATTGATTTTTAAAGGTGCTTTTGTGCAGTCCTTCATGCCAGCACACCTGTGTTTCTGCTGGAGCCAGCCAGAGAATACACACAGGGTATAACATGTTTGTTGGAAAACTAACCACTTAAGATGTTTCAAGGGCTTTTGGAAAAAACTCTTTCCTTGGGCCTAAATGGAACATACCTAAATATAATGGATAATACGGAAAAAATGGATTATGAACTTTCTATGTACATAGAGACCATACTGGAATGGCAGCCTATCCCTCAAAAAGCCCTGTGATAATACAGCTCTAAAAAAAACCCTGGGTAATATAGCTATCACAGCAGAATCTAAACTAAATTTCTAGTTGTGTAAAACAAAGACAACAGAGGAAGGTACTGGTCCTACCCTTGTATCCAATCCAGGCACCATCTGTGCCTGTGACAACCCTGCTATTTTCGGTTTTTTTAACTTCAAGCATCTGAGATTTCTCTGTCTAACTTTGTCAGTCCCCAGTTTTATCTACTAGACATCACCACACAATGGTTTACAAATAGCTTTGCTGTATGATTACAAGAACAGTAACAGGAATAACAGGAAACTGTCCAAACAAAAACACAACCATTACCCTTCCCAGACTTTTCTCCTCTGAGGTGTCTCCATCTGCTTGCTGTCAGCAATGCTGCAGATAAGATTAGACCTGGTGCTAAAACCTTCCAGTTTCCGCTTTGCTCATTCTTTTTCCTCCCTAAAAAAGGCAACTTATCTGCAGTTCTAGAAAGGCTTTGTACTGGAGGGAGAAGTTACTGCCTGTTAATAAGGAAGGGTGACCCTCTGGAGAGACTTTCTTTGAAGTCCCTGATTTTTAGTATCAAATCGTAATCCTGCACTCTTCCTCTGATTTGACCACCTGCACACACTGAACCAAGTAAGGCGGCAGCCACAGTGCTAAAGCCTGCCAGAGGACACTAACCAGCAGTAATTCACTCTATACCTAAACCCAAAGCAGTCTGGTTTAGTTGAAAGCTCCAGAAACAAACTTAAACCCAGCAATCACTCTTAAACTTGGGAATGGAAGGTCTCAGAAGACCAACAGAGGAGAAAGGCATGGGAAAATGGATGTCCTTGGGGTTATGGCATGGGACTGGGCAGTCAGTACTCATCTCTCTTGTTGACTTCCAGGTTGAGTTGCCTCCAGGTGCTCTGAAAGCAGCCCTGAGGTGAGCCTCCAACCCTCCCAAAAGCTTGCACAACCACAGGCACAGCTTTAAATGCTCCCAAGTAGGACACAGCCTGTCCCAGAACACTTGGTAGGTCAGCCTGGCACCAGGCATGCTCCTGCAGTCAGACAGGAGTAGAAGTGCAAAGCCAGTCTGGCCAGAGCCCTGCCAGAGCTTGCTTTTTCAGCACAGCAAGGACAAGCTCTACCTCAACTGCCTTTTCTCCTTTTCTGCTATTCTGATGACAAAGAAAAGAATCTTCCGCTGGGAAAAGGTATACATGCATGAAGACATTATGGAGCATACATGTGGGTGTGAGTCAGCAGGCAATATTCCTCCATCTTCACTTTGCACTGGGGATACTCCCAGGTCATAGCAAGTTCTCCTTCCCGCAGTGGCACTGCCTGTATCCTCCAGCAGCATGGCAACATAGGTTGTGTCCAGTCAGAAAAGTGTATCTTGAGAGCTGTAAATCTACACCCACACAGGCACACTCCCCACCTTTGCTCAACACTGGGCTCAAAGGACCTGATCTTCCTGCAGGGCTCTTATTGCAGCTCAGTATATAAAAAAATCACAGTTGTGTCAGCTCTCTGTGCCACTGTCCCAGTGATGGAGGAAACGAGTTCAACCAGTGCTTCTCCAACCAGACGTCAAGGTCCCTGGAGCCACAGCACAAGGACCCCCTCCCATTTACTTCAGAGGACCAGGTGGGGTCAGGCTGGAGGTGCTCTCAGCCCCCATAATTTGGAAACTGCTGTCTCAAGAAAGCAAGCTCTTAAAGTCATTCTTCTCAACTCATGTACTTATTTGTTTCCATAGAATTATGGTTTGGGTCTGAAGGGACCTTAAAGCTCATCTAGTCCCACCCCCCTGCCATTGGCAGGGATGCCTTCCACTAGACGAGGTTGCTCAAAGCCCCATCCAAGACATTCTCTGGGAGAGGACTTTGCTTTCGTATGGTACAGAGCTCAACAGAGCAGGTGCTCCTAGGGAGTAAACATTCACTGAGGCCTTTGTGTTTGCTGGTTTTTTTCATGGGTTATTGCACTGGCAGCTAAACAGCCCAGTTGAGCTCCGGACCCTGCCATGCTAAGCATGCAAACAAAGAGTAAGGGACAGCCTTCAATCCAAAGCCATTTCTAGCTAAAGTAGAGGAGGAGAAAAGAAATGTTTGGGGAAGGATGCACAAAGAGATTAAACGAGATGCCCAAGGTCATGTGAGAGGAGTGTGGTTGTCGGGGTGATAAACTAAACATATTTTGCCCTGCTACCTTACTCCTACTGAAAATCTTATCGCTGCTTGTGGGAGGGGGGTAATTTGGAAGACCCACCCTTCATTTAGTTAATTATGACTGTTATCAAAAATATTGTGCAAATAACATGGGCAGTGTGTTCTACATTTCAACATGCCTTAAAATACATTCCACTTTATTAATTTATCTGCTGGCTTTACAAGTCCATGATCAATGGCAGAGAAACATGTCAGAAAAACACTGGATGAGAATTAAAAACAGATATAAACAGATATAAAGAGATACACACCCTGTCCAATCCCCTTTTGATCACACAGTTGGGCTCCTGGTCTCAATTATTGCCCCAAGTTGCGTGATGCTGGCACAGAATGGTTTATTCTGTGTCCACACAATGGTGACTGTTGCAGTTGGACTTTTAAAAATGGGGCAGATTCTGAGTTTCCAAGGTAAGGATGAGAACAAGCTTTCCTTCCCAGAGACATCTCCTGCCAGCCCTTGGATCTCCACACCTCTGTGGTTTCTTGTGAGGTTTAAACGTCAGTTTTCTTACAGGCTGCAGGCAGAAGTGTCCTGGCATAACCCAGACCATCAGCCCAAGCACACCATACCACACCACAGATGCTCAAGCCATGTCTCACGCATGAGGGTTTGGGCACCTGAGCAACCTGAACTCTTACTCTGGGGAGGAAACAAGCCAAGCAAGGCTGCTGAGACCAGCACAGCCTACCCCACAATGATTTTAGGCAGTAGCTCTGAGCTTGGGAAATGTGGCCATTCCTGACATGGCAGATTCCTCCCAGCTGTCTCTGAAGCTGACGGCATCACGCGGTTTGTGTGTTACTGGAGGTACGAAGGATCTGGGCTCATTGCTCCACACCACAAGCATAATGGTCCTGGTTCGCTCCAAGCATGTCTGCCCACAGTACCCCATGCCTATGATGAAGTAAACTTTACTTACAGATCTGTGACTCCGGAGACCTCAGCATCTTCTTTGATTCCTGCCATATGGTTTTGCAGTCCTCCTGGAGCTTATAAAACCGCTCCTTTCTCCAAGAGCCTGACTTCACTTTTAGCAGCTGGCTGCCTTTCAGGAGGAACTTCAGATCCTTGTCATCTTTCAGCCCTGCAGAGAAATAGTAGTTGTATTGTTGTAAGATTCAACTCAAGAAACGATGTTCATAGGGTCTTCCCTTCCACAGGACACTAAGCACAGACATAGACAGAGCACTACAGTGCAGCCAGATCCAGGGAGGACCACAGAGCAGAGAGACCCAGAAATCTGTCATGTCATACTTTATGCTGGAGCCTTGTAGATTTCTTAGATTGAGTCCAAAGACTTTTGTACCATAATTCTCAGATGGTTTACAAACACAAAATATCTTCTTCCCAGCACATATAGTCTTAATGTTAAGATGCAAAAAAGATGCAAAAACTAAAACAAAACAACAAAACCAACAATGTAACAGTAAAAGTAGTAAAAAAGAAAGTTGTATAACTTTTAATTGGAGTACTGTCAGGAACTTTTAAGTGGTTTCAAATCCATTCTGCAACAGATTTCCTTTGTGGAAACATGAATACACAAAGATATCTCCCTTCTTTGGCAAACAGTCCCCACCTATCCACATGGGGATTTTGAAGATCAGTGTCATGAAGCTTAGGACACACACAGATAAATCTGGTAAGAGACAGCATCACATCGGTAAAGTTGCAACCATATTCCCCTAACCTCCCAGCTAGTATCCAAGAGGGCTTTTATCTTTCTTACTCTACTAGGCCGCTACAATGCCAGGTGATAATAACCAGACCTACCAGTTCCACGAACTTCAGATTTCACATCTTAGCCTGGATTCAGGAAGGCATTTAGACACCTAAAGATGCAACAGGCATCTACTGAGGCTTTGAAAACATAGATTCGGCATTCTAAGTATTTTGAATGTCACAGCAGTCTACCAGTTTCACATACCTAAACACCTTGGACAATCTGCCCCTCAAACCAACCATTAATTACAGATCTGGAGTGTGCGGGCTGGGGAGGGTGAGGGCATGAAACATGAGAAACACTTCCTCAGCTTTCTGTAATAGGCACTTTGCATCTCTGACATTGCAGGAAGCGCTGGTTCAAAGCTGGTGAAACAGCATTTAACCCTGCAGTACTGATCAAGCACATCCTGACTCAATGGGGGTTTTGCTAACCTTGTCTTGACAGTGCAGATAACCACTTGGCCTCTTGCAGCCACATGACACATCATGGGAAATCTTCCAGTGCCACATAATGCTGTGTCTCGCAAAGCAGAAATCCAAGTTAACTGATCTATGCAGTAACATTTATATTGCAGTGTGGCATTCCCCTATGACATTTGGTTTGTTGTTTTTTAAACAAAGCAAGGCAATAAACTATCAAATATGAGTTCAGGCTTGCTTGAAAAACAAAATCCAGCATGAGAACCAAGTTGCCAAATCCCCAGAATCCTGACAATTCATACAGCAAAGTGAAGTGCTGGGTCCTGCAGAGCACCACGGTAGGTCATGGTGGCAGCAGTAAAAAGTAGCACCATGAGTTTGTAACTGGGATACATTGGCCTCAAGCTCATTTTTGACTGCCAAAGAAAGACTGAGATCTCCATAGGAAATAAATATTAGGGGTGTCCAGTGTCCACTCAGTGAGCCATTCACACCATTTAGTGGTTTTGCAGATATCAAAAGCAGAGCCCAGCTGAGGCATCTACAGTTGAAGTGCCACGGTGGGAGCTAGAGATCCTGCAAAGGCACTTGTGGCCTCTCCCTTTCCTCTACATTCTATTAGCTATCTCATCAATTAATTTTCTCCCCATGCTGCAGCATCCCTTGGGCCTCTAGCCCTTACCTGGTCTGGAGATTCCCAAGAGGAGAATTTGAATGCTTCCTCCTCTGGAAACCTCAGAAAGAAATCCACTGAGAGAAGAAAAAAGCCATGTCCTGCAAAGCACAGAAGGGTGAAAGACTGACCCCAGCTACAGGATCTGGGACACCGTCCTGGGTTTGCTGAGTTTCAAGCATGCCCAGGGGTTGACAAGAGGCCAAGACCATCTAGTGGAAGGGCAGACACCACAACAGCTTCACAGGTTCTTGGTCTCTTGAATTGTGGTGTTAAGGCTTCCCTTCCAAGGCAAAAGTCTTCCAAGTGCAGGGAAGATACCACAGACATAGGCTTCACTAACAGCACTGTGGTATCCCTCAAGGTTTCTGGAGAGGAAAGAGACTTCTTCTTCTCTCTATTCACCCATTACATTTCTGTTCTGGCTCCCAGTATCATCACAGAATCATCATCATAGAATAGTTAGGGTTGGAAACAACCTTAAGGTCATCTAGTTTCAACCCCCCTGCCATTCCTTCTCTTTTTTCAGATCCCAACCATTTGAGGCATCATTACGGGACCAGAAGAAAGACATGCCATCCTAGAGTGACAAGAGGAGGAAAGCAAGAAAATCATCAGTTCCTTTAGGTAACTATGCACGTAAGTGTGTCACGAGAAATCCCTGTGAAATAGAGCATGTCTTGTACACAGACACCACATGCAGCATGTGTAACATGTCATGCTACCTGGACACCCTAAAGAGTTGCACCAATGTAACACAGGCAAATCTGGGTGGGCACATGCAGTGGTCAAGGGCAGATTCCTCTCTTCCAGGCTTGATCCACACAGGTCAGACAGAAGCTGGAGCTCAGAGCCCTTCATCCTGCTCACCAGCACAGCCCAGTCAGTGCATTAGCGTGGGTCAGAACTCCCTTTCCTCTTCAGAGGATCTGACTATGGGTTGGGAGCAGCCCTCCCAGTCATCCTTGGACGCTGTGCCTCAGGACCAGACCAGGTGGACTGACTCAGCAAAGGAGGCCGCTGCACTTCCCAGGAGCAGGAGGGACAGATGAAGCAGGATGGTGCATGGTGAAAGCATGGCAAAGATCAAAGATGGCAGGAAGCTTGGGTCAGAGGGCAGTGAGAGAAAGCAGGGAGAAGATGGAGACAAGTTTGCCTCTATGATACAGCAGGTTTGGTCAGGAAAGGCCAAAAGGCTAATCATGGGTGTCTAACAGCTCCATCATTCCTTGACGTGGGAGGCCTTTCAGAAAGAGAGCAGTCACCCAGAGTTGATCTCTACCAGTGGTGACTCCAAGTACTGACTGAACCACCCAATGGTGGGCCTGGAGGAAGGAGGTGCATGCCCTTAACCAAGCTGGCACAGCCTATTCCAGGCCTGCTCTGTGTCTGTCTAACTACAGCTCAAGCTCAGACAACTAAATTGGCTCGGAAAGAAGGCCAGTGTTTCGGGGTCTGCCTGCTATGCCCAGTCCAAGCACTGCTACAGACTCTTTAAATGACCTTGGGTGAGTCACTTAGCTTCTCTACTCTCATCTACAAAGCACCAGCATTTTTTTTTTTGGCCATAGATGGAGCAGAATATGCTCTGATCCTGATACAGGAACCACAAACACACCCTGATGTGCCAGTGTGACGTTAGTCTTAGTTGGTCATTTGAAGGTTTTTCCAGAAAAAAATGCCTTTTCCCAGCAGAAACCTCATTTCAGGTTTTATGCCTGAACCAGCTCCTAAGGATTTGTGCCTAACAACCCCATGGAGCTGAGGATGTTTGCAGTCCAGAGCTCCATCTCACTGCAATGGAAACTTGTATGAAAGAAACCAGAGTCGTCACACACATCATTTAAAAAACACTGTGCAGTAGGACATGGATATTGATTTCCAACCGTATAACAAAACTAGGCATGAGAAGCACAATCCCTGCATTGCAATAGATGTCCAAATCCTGCCTGAAGCATGTGGCAGCACTGTGTATTGCTTAGCATCCTATGTGAAATACCAAATACATACTTGGCCTGCAAAATTTCCAAGGGTCAGGACCCCCTTCCTCGTGAAATATCAATCACACACATTCTAAACAGAATATATTTAGTGTGCAGTAACGTTCAGAGTGAAAATCATGTCTGGCAAAGGTAGGAGTGCCTCAAGCAAACACAGTACTGCAATAACCATTAAGTTAATATACTGCACTATGAAGCTTTAGACACTAAGACATCAAAAATATTGACCTTTGTCTTATCTGTCTCAGGTTTACAGCAAGCAGGAAACACAATAAAACAATAGCTGTCATGGAGGAAGCCAGGCTTGAGTTCACTAAGGAGATAGGTAGAATGATGCCATAGAGTGATCTGTATTTCTACATTGCTCACTTGCAAAGCTGCTGATCTGACATAAATATGTTAATTACAGCTGCTACAAAACAAGCCGCCTCCTGCCTGCTCTCCCTTTCCCACCTGGTTTAAGACCAGACATAGGTCAGGTTTGCCAGCTTAAAAGGGCAGAAAGCCTTTCCATAAAAAATCTAAAGAACTCAGGTGGGTAAATGGCCATTTTCCATTTCCACCTGCCCTCTGCAGCCACGGAAATCAAGGGATTCGTACCCACTTGGGCTATCTCTCCAGAGAGCAGGAACCAGCAATGAGTTCATAGCCAGCCACAGAAGTTACTAAACTCCCTGGGTTTCCTCTTTCTTTTCATCTGGCAAATGCAGACCTCTAAGTGGTTCCTTGGGCTCTTACGGCAACTGGCAATACACCACTGAGAAGTCCTAAAATCAGGCAGGAAAAGGGCACTGCCTTCCCCAAACATCCTCAACAACATACAGTTCAGAAAGCCCAGCAAGAGATTAGGAAACCGAGCCTTTGCCAAACAGGTCCCACCTTCTTTGATGCCTCAGACGAAGCGGTTTACACATCTGGCGGGTGGGTACAGGCAAAGGAAAGGAAAAGAAACCTCGGGAGTTTAAAAATAACCTTGGAGTTGCCTTTAGGGTGGAGCACTGCCTCTGCGCAGGGAAAAGAGGCAGAAATGAAGTGGCTGCCAGCGTGTGGAAGTGCCAGGGGTCTGGCCAACTTGTCCCTTACCCAGCCTCATGCCATTCAGTGCGGCCACTCTACGGCTCTGCTCCCGTAGGATGTTTTCCTGGGACACGCTGCGCTTGGGCTGCCTTCGGAAGCACTGCATGGTCCAGTGTGAAGCTCAGGGAGAGGCGTCGGGCGTCGGGAAGGACGGGGGGCCACGCCACCCCTGCGGGGATCGCTGCTCATCCAGGAGCCTTCAGCGTGCGCGCTGTCAAACGGGGCTCCAGGGAGGGCGCGGAGGGAGGCAGCAGCGGGAGAGAGGCAGAGGAAGGCAGGGGAGGGCAGAGTCCAGCTGGGGGTGGGACCGTGGGAAGTCTCTCCTCCCGCTTTGCTCACCAGCACACGCAGGATGCAAAATTACGCCGAGGAGCCTGCCAGCCCCTGCCCAGGTAGAAGGAACAAGTTTTCCTACAGTCATATGCCAGTGGCTTTTTACACATCACTTCCAGGGGCTGGAGGAGTCACAGATATTGTTTGTGGCTCCTAATCAGTGCCTAGAACTCGTCATCTTAGCCTGCCCACAAAAGCCTGGATCAGAGGGAGCTTGGCTCCACCCTTTCTCTTCAGTGAAGAGCTGCTCCGTAATGTTCCCACTGACAAGCACTGAAGAGGAAGCTAAAAACACCTTTTAGCCAGGGCAGACGTAGCCCAATAGCTGCTTGGAAACTGTGCTTTAACGCTTTTCTTTTTCCACCTAGAGAAGAGCATTTTCCTAAGACTCCAGATTGTGTCTTCTCTGCCACCGATTTCCTGTATGACTTGGGTGAGTCACTTGCCCTACGTTTCTGCATAGTTCTGGGTTTATTCTTGTAATTCAAATTTATCCTGCATTCTGGTACAGGAACAAGTCCCCATCAGTGGTTTAACAAGTCACTGATTACACAGAATCAGAGAAAAATTCAGGTTGGAATGAATCTCTGGAGCTCTCTATTTAAATCACCCACTCAAAGTGGGGTCACCTTCAAAGGCAGATCATGTTGTTCACAGTCTTGTCCAGGTGAGTTTTGGATGTCTCTAAGGACAGAGACTCCATAGCCAATCTAGCTCCCAGTTCAAGAGCTTAGATGTCCTTAGTGAAGAATTTGTTCATTATCACCAGCATAAATTTTCTTTGCTGAAACTCATGACCATTGCCCATTGTCCCAGCTAAAATCCATCTTTTCCCTAGCCATGACCACTTCTGTGGTGAAATACAGCAGCTATACTTATTAAGCTGTTCCATCTTAGGCAAGTTTACAGACCTTATTACAGACTGGAGGGTTTTGTCACTGCCTTTGCTAGCTGCTGCCCTGCCAGGCAAGCCAAGGGTGAAGATACTGCAGAGAGACGGAGTCAAGCTGGGGTGAATGATGGAGTCAAGCTGGGATGAATGTCTCTGCAGAATGAGCGTACGTGCAAGAAACTTGACAGCAAACCACGTCACCTTTTCTGCTGGAGACCTAACTGAAGGCTGTCCACCACGACCATTTCCATCACCACCCCCCTCATATTCAACAGAGGTTTTAGAAACATTCTCTATCTCAGGTGTCTGGTGATCTGTCCATCTTCCTCTTCTTTCTCTGCATTTTAAAGAAAGCTCTATCAACACTCACAAATAAACATGGAGGACTGGTATATCTGACCAGCATAAGGTCAAGATCAGAGTCATTAATTGCTGCTGTATGCCACACATAAGAAATTCTCTGGAGACGCGGCAGAGCCATTGCATGGCCTTGAACAGCAGTACAACTAATAATGCCTGATTTACACACAGCAACTACAAATCACAGACAGCAAAGGAGAATGAAGGCGCTTTCTGGATGAGACATTGCTGAGCATGTTAGCCAGACGGTCAGTAGGTGTTTGAGGAAACAACACAAGGCTTTTCTGAGCCCCCTGCATACATATACAGGGGCTGGATGTCAGAGCTCTAATCTCTGTAGTGCTCCCCTGGGAGCGGGGAGCTTTGCTTTTGCTGCGTCTAGGAGGTGGGCACCATGACGTAATGACTAGATGATATTTATTTAGCTAGCAGTCTCCCAGCACTTCCCATATTTCACATTGTACTGGAGAGGACTGATCCAATTAAAGGAGTGCGGATGAGAGTGCTCTTCCGTACGTGCCTTAGCAAAACAATTTGCTTCTGTGCATCAGCTCTCCTGTCCAGCAGCAGCCAGAGTTCCATAGGGATCAATCCAGGAGAACACAGAGCCCCTCCGCTTCATTTTCTCATTAATTCCTAAAAAGCAGTGCCAGTTACAGCATTGCTCATAGCTTTCTAGACTCCAGAGAACATTTTACTGTACTTATCCCTGAAGCTTGCACACACAAAGCACAAGATCGGCATTCACCGAGTTTAAGCACTTTCTGCAGAACAGCAGTGTGTGAGTTTGTGAGGGCTTCAGAGATGTAAGGCACTTAAAATCAGTTTGTTTTTAAAATGAAGATAAGTTCATTGGACCAGAAATGCCCTGCTTTGGGAAACAACAGATCTAGATGTGTTGTGGTCCTGAGGTCATTTAAAGACAATGTCACATCTTGCAGACAAAGCTTGAGGGGTAAGTGTGACACTGTGGGTTACATGGCATTGCTTATTGCTGTTACATGTTGCTGCGTCACACTCTGGCACCAGAGGAAGTGATTCCTGCAAATGGCTTAGGGAAAAATTCTCCAACTCTTATTCACTGCAGGTAACCTGACTGGGTCTGAAGCCTGCAAACACTCACGCATGCAATTTTACCCACGTGACCGATCCCACTGAAACAAATGGCACTAGTCACATGAGGGAAGTTATTCATGTCCTCATGCCCAGGACTGGGCTGTGCTAATTGTCCTATCGATTCCAGCTGGATTACTCACGGAGCAAATGGAAATCGATGTGAACGAGGATGTCAGAATATGGTCCCAAAGTTAGCTTTAATATCCAGGAAACAGACACTTGAGATAGATAGAAAGGCTGTAGAGTCTGGTAGGAAACGGGCCATGTGAGAAAACTATTAATGCACAGGCTGTTCTTCAGATACTTTTTCAAGATGAATTAATCTCCATTACATCTTTATCTAAGGAGCTAAGGAAACACTATTACCACTTCACAGACGAAGAAACAGGTTGGTTTTGAGCTCTTTGGGGCTGGACTTGTTCTCCCATCACCACCACATTCGGGCAATACCAAAAGCGGTGCAACCCTAATGCTGATCATAGTCTCTTTACACCACACTGACACAAGTGATGTGACAGAAGTCAGCTGCTGATTTGCCCAGACTTGTGATAATTTAGGCCTGGAATGAAAATACCTGTGCTGGTGATGACCTCACCACTTCCCCATTGCATCATGCACATGATGTAATTTATTTATTATTACTGCTAATGCCTATGGCAGTTACATAGCAAACACTAAATGTCATGCTAAGGGGAGGTCTTCCCACTAAAGAGGCCAAAGGTTGTGCCCTTGCTCTGTATTTTGCTGCCCAGAATAAAAAAAATAGGTCTATTTGACATTATGCTGTTCTTTGAAGAATCACTGTAATTTCATCTTCCCTCCCAGGCCCCGTCACAGTGAAATTCAATAGAATTATTTTAATAACAGTAATAGCACAGTCAGAGTGTCACTGCTCATTAATGAACTGCAATGTCTGCCCCTACACATTCCTTGTCCCCAGCAAACATGAGAACGTTCAGTCCAGGTGAACTCAGAATCAGTGAGAGTTTGGAAAACCTGAGTTCAGCTGATGCATAGTAACATGACAACCTTCTATCACTTGTTAGGGTAATGGAACACTCAGAAGCTGAAGTTCCTGATGGTAAATAAAGTTTGAGGATTACTTTTGCACACTTAGTATGAGGAATATTGTTACTGCAGCAGCTGCCTGGAAATGAGCACAACCAGCTGCAGCTGCTGCTGTTTGGAAAAGCAGAAAACCCAGCAAGTGACAGGGATTTAACTGGAAACCAGTGCTTTTGCAAATCACTGATGTTACCCATGAAGTGCCTCTGCAGAGGCCCCTTTTGTCATCTGCCACCACCCCACAGTTATATCCAACCTGGCTTTTATATCAGCTCCTTGGCAGCCCTGTGCCTGAAATCAGCATGGCCCCAGCAGTGGCAAGTTGTCACCCAGCTGAGACCCTGCCAGAAGAACAGGACAGCAAGACCCACGCCTGCAGGGTCCCACCTGCCCTACCTTTCCCTCTGGAGTCCATTCTTCACTTCATTCATGCCCTCTCACATCCCACATATAGAAACCTCACTCTCTCCTCCTTCCTTGCTACCTCCAGGACACCAGTCACTGCTCTCAGCTTTATTCTCCCCAGTCACACACACTTCATATCCTCAGAGGACCAGGCCTTTCTGTTGGCACAGCAGAGCTAGAGAATAGTCAGTTTCTCACCAGCAACAGAAAACGTCAGTGACTCGTCTACACCAGCGCTCTCCTCCTTGCCCCCTCTAGGGAGTGGGGACCAGGGAATGGGTGCTGAGACGATAACCACCCGTGCACCTCTGGTCAAAGATGCTGCTGCTTCTTAACAGTGGGTGCATCTCGGGTGCATGTGGTATGTACCAAGTTCCACCTTGTGGTGACACGCAGAATGGGCTTCTCTACGAAGCCTGTGGCAGCATCAGCTAAACAACTTCTCTTCCTTACTTACATTCGCTCTTCTTGCCCACTCTACTTCCTTTCCGGGGTGCTTGAGAGGTCCTGCTAGCCAGGGCAGGGTGACCTTAAAGTTTCATACAGGAGGAGTTCTCCCCAGCTGTCATGTCGGGGCTGTCCTTCAAATCACTGCGTAAAACCTTCCTCTGGTGGCATGCTGGCAAGAAGTCCTATGATGGGCAGGTTTCTGGTGCATTTTCTGCAGGTTTCTGGTGATGTATCAGTGCTGTCACCATGCCCAGTATTTCTCAGCACCACTTTCTGTACCCTTTGGCTGCCTTGCCTTGTCTGCAAGATTTCTGGGAGGAGAATGGTCACTTCTCCAGCCCTGGTGTGATCAGCCTGCCCAGCCCAGCTATCTTTCCCCAAAACTGGCCAGCTATACACAGACCGCCTTCTGGAAATGACTGTAAGCCCAAGCCATCACCCAGATCATGCTATGGCTAGCTTGCTGTGGATCAAAACCATGCTGA